ACTATTATTTTTGACCCGAAATAATGATATTCAAGGTTCAGCGGTGTGTCTCCATTTGAATGCTACGGGACATCAGTTAGTGAACAAAAAAGAAGAATAAATTAAATGTATTGAATGAAGGGTAAAGCGAAGCTATTTTCGCCTGGAAGAGAAATGAGTGGCCACACGGTTGGGTTTTCGATGACAGATTTTCGGCAGAATCCTCATGCTCATATTGTTCGTTGACTCCGCCAGTTTTCATGTCAAAATAGCCTCTATTGACCATGCTCCTTACCGGCGATTCTTGGAATTGCTTCGTTGCGGCAAGCATGAACTTCTGTCATTCAGGCAAGAAGTTACTGGATTGTTTCACAGGCAGTGCTCATGTTTTCCATTATAGCTACTTCGAACCATGACATTTTAGAGGCATTATTTTATTCTTTTTTAAAAATTAATTAATGCAATATGGGGTTAACTCATGCATGTTTCAAAACATGTATTTTTATGCAACAATTTATATGCAAATACTTATGGATGGACTCTTCAAATGCGCAGCAGACCATAAGTAAGAGGAAAATACGACTTAGGAGGAAAAAATATGCATTTACATAATAATAAAAAAAAACAGCCCTACGTAATCAGACACGAGGCGCGCTTCTTTTTAATTCGTTCACTGACGCAGTGGGTGCCACGAGTACTGGGACATTTCGTCTGGTGCCGGAATGAAATAAAGAAAGCCATCCTTGCTTGCATCGGAAATCTTCAGTTAGAGTCTCGAGAAAAAAAAGCACGACGAACGAAGAACTCCTTCGCTTTGGCGTGCTTGTCATATCGTTCTTCATCTATTTTTCCTGACTGATCGCCTTATCAGATATCTTGAGGCATTCAGAAATTCTCCGGGGGTTCACAATGCCCTTGCATTGAGTCTTCATTTATCCCTCTCCCTGAAAATTTACGGGCTTCATATTTTCCACAGGGACATGGATGATTTGTATATACAGAGTGTGCCAAAAGTAGTTGTACAGTTGCCTATTTTATTTTTATTTTTATTTGCAGGTAGTTAATAGAATCAAACGCAAAGATCTTTGTGACAAAGTGTGTCGCAGTGTGGCAGACAGACTCCAGGAATGTGTGAACAATGAAGGCAAACTCCTTGAGCATCTAAGGGATTCACATTTCCATGTGTTTCTCTCTCTCTTATACAGTTCATACATACAACTGTATACCTACTTTTGGCACACCCTGTATAATCAGTGGCGAACAAGAACTTTATGGGAACATGCAAATTCTCATTCTTCCCAATCCTTTGGAACAGCTATCTCTGGCCTTGGTTCGCCTACCTCCAGCTGAAAAATGACTAACATTAACTCTCCCCCATAAAACCCTAAAGTTCTTTTTAAAAAATTAACACCCCGAAAACATCCCGTGGACAATGACGGTTTGTGACTGAGGAAACAAGGTAGGCAGAGTCCCCTAATCATGTGCCAACATATAGGGTTCCCCATAAGTTAATATACAGTTGCTTAATTTTGCGTTCATAGAAGCTGCAATTTTAAATGGCTGATAAGCAACGCAGATGCTGAAAGGTTCAACGCATGGACGTAGTGAAATGATGGTTCAATTATGAACATGTATACCAATCTGTGTCAATTAATTACCAATAGCTAAAGAAATGCAATACCTTGCAACTGTATACTGACTTTTGGGGCACCCTGTATAATTTATGCCAACACATGAATGTCTGAACCCTCGCCTACATATACTCATCGCCAAAAAAAGCACGACCCAGGAGTTAAGTCATCTTGATGAAATTTGGCAGACAAGCTCGTAATATTGCACCATGAAATCGACTTGAGTTTCAATGGTGTGCGTTGAATATTTACAGAGAAAGCTTGCCTAACAATTCAATTTAAATAGCAGCTATGAGGTCATACTAATCGCCCAAGACGGTCACCTCAGATTTTATTTATGAAATGTGAATTAAGAACTCAAAGATGTCTTGAAAAATCGAGCAAAGCTTCAACATCATGGGATGAGGCAATGCAGAGGAAACTTGTCGAGTGCCTGAGGAATGGGAGAAGGGGCGGCGCCATAGATGACGCCTGTAACTTTCCTCTTCCCCTCAAGTCGCTTAACTACAGAGCCGTTAAGCCTAACTGCGAGGCAGTGCGATCTCTGAGGCAGATGGATCCCTGAAGGCAATTTCAACAGGCTGTTAAAGTGTTCGATCGATTTAGCTTACTTGGGATGCATGCATATCAGCTTCGTCCATCAGGCTGCAGGTATGCAGCACATCTTTAACCGTAGAAGTGCCAGAAACAGCACGACGGCCTACCAACGTCGATTTTATCGACAGTTGGCACTTCCAGGGTTAAGAGTTTTCAAACCACATCTCAGCAAAATCCTTCTAGGTGACCGTTTTGGGCAATTAGTATGGCCCTATAGCCGCTATTGAAGTTGGAGTGTTTTGCAAGTTTTCTCCCTGAATATTCATCCCACACCATTGAAACTCAAATCGATTTCACGGTACACTACCAGCTTGTGTATCGAATTTCATCAAGATCACTCGGCTCCTTCTTGGTCATGCTTTTTTGGCGAAGAGTACAGTATATACAAGGTAGTCCAGGTCAAGTGTAACGAACCAAACTGAACTTTTCTAAGAAATGGCACGTTTTATTGACTTCAAATTTGCACAGCCTGTTCCTGACATAATGGACCAGACATGATGTAAGTTTCACTCAAATTGGCCACCTTTATCCTTGATTATGGCCTTCAATCTCTTCTTGAATTTGTTGACGCTGTTCCTCACCTATTTCATTGGAATTTCGTTCCAAATACGAACCAAATATTGTCTGAGATTATCCAGACTGTTGTGGGGCTTGGAACAGGCCTTAGATGCGAGGATCGACCACATGGCGTAGTGAAGACAGTTCAGATCTGTAGACGACGAGGCCACTCATCCATGGTCAAAAACCCTGGCAAATTTCTCCGACACCAGTCCTGTGTCACATTAGCCGTATGAGACGTTGCTCCGTTCTGCTGGAATGTCCAAGGCTCATACCCGAACAGATCTTGAACCCTGGGGTGCAGGGCGTCCAGCATTATGGATTTTATGTAGACGTCCTTGATTTTAATGCCCTCGGGAACGAAGACGAGGAGGGGGGACTTGCCCCTGTTGGTGACGGCGGCCCACACCATAACGGTGCCCGGCTTCTGGGTGCGGAACATCATTCCAGCATTGTCGGGAATCTCCTCTTGACTTCGTGGCAGTAAACAATCATTTTTCCTGCTGTGAACTGCATGTACCGTGAATAACTTCTCGTCCGAGAAGACGATGTTGGGGGCCGAACCATTCTCGAGCCTCACTAGCATCTGGCGACCTCGGGAAAGTCTCTTGGTGGCTGCACTGAGGAGCTGTCGCTTTTGGAGCCGGTGAGAGGTGAACCCTAGATCGTTCTTGACCACCCTCATCATCGTCGACCTCGAGACAGTTATCTCCTCCGCCATCTTCCTGATGAACCTGTTGGGATTGCGCAAAATCCGGCGCTTGACTTGGGCGACCAATTTCTTCGCTCTTGTCGTCTTCCTGCTGCCTCCAGATCGTTCGGCGGTAGAGCCTGTCTCAAGGTATCGATTCAATGTCCTTTGATGAAGGTTCGGCTTAAGTTCAACTTGTTGCTCGCCTTTTCAATGTCCGGTCTTTTCAGGCCCTGTTCATGCAGTTCCACGACTAAGGACCGCCTGGCTTCCAACGCAATTTTATTCGCTTGTGTTCAACCGACAGAGTCAAATCCAGGACTGGATTAAATAGCAGAAACATACCATTCCAACGAATAACATTTGAACTACATGAGTAAAATATTCGGTGTAGGAGGGAACTTTAAAATTTCGTTACACTTGACCTGGACCACCCTGTATGTTTGGGGGAGGAGAAGGGATTTGGAAGAAACTGAGGCCTGTCCGGATCAGATCTTCTTTGAAGCAAAATTAGTGAAATATATTGTCCATAGACAATAAGGAACTGCCGTCGCAGAGCGTGAGAAGAGAGTGCAGGAGCAAGCAATTCTGCCCTTTCGTTGAACGCGTAAGAAATGGAAGCACCACGATAGCCAAGCCCACCCTGCAAAACTCCAGAGCTGCGGTTCCCCCCTTCTCGCTCCTGCGTTTGATTTGAGGCTGGCTCTTGTGTGCAGGCTACACCTTGCCTATTCGGGGAGCAAGTCTCATTCTGCGCTTATTCTGGAACAAGTACATGTTCGCGAGTGAAATTATGAATGCTTAATAATAATTAAAAATTTTCAGGTCAATCTGAATTTTAGGATTGTGGAGCATAGCTCTTGTGACATCTCGAAAGAGACCCTAGAAAAAGTGTCAAACACTGTAATGCGCCTTGCCCATTTATGCAAAGAGTTCGGTGGGGACACCTCCAGCATCTCCCGTAAACACAGGTTAAGACACATAAGTTCACATAAGCTGCAATGGACAATAAACATCGAAACTATTGCTTCATATGAGGATTTGTGTCCACTTGCACGACTTTACGAATACCCAGTAGAAATAAATATTTTAAGGCCGTGCTTATCGGAAAATAGATTTGCAAGCATTAAACTGAAAACTCTAATTATGAACTGGGTGGGCCCAGCCAATCGTGGCTACCGTGACGAACCGCTACTTACGTGGAAAAACATTTAAGTGAGGTTTAGATCGAAGCTAAAATTATTTTGGCCCTAATTGCTCTCCTCTTCCTGAATTATTACAGAATGGCTGCCATTCGTTAGTTTGCGTCTCTGGATAAAGAAAAGAAGAGATGTACTCGTAGGTTGAGTAGGTTGGGTGCAACTATCGCTGAAGAGGTAGGGTATATCTTGTACTCGAAGGCGAAAAGCCGATCCTGACTAACAAATGATTGACTCCTCGAGTTTATTTCTGATGACTGTGCCTGGATCGGTTCCAGCTTAGGCTTCCAATCATCCGGTGAGAATCGTCCTAGGAAGTATATATTCTCTCTCGTCTCTTGGCAGCAATGAAGATTCCTAGCAGCCTACGAATATTGGCCAATTCGCAGAGCATCACGAACCCGCATGGCTTGGCGGACGGATATTTTGAAACGTGTTCTCACGTCGAGGAGCCGGGCCGAGAAGCCAGATGGGACCTTGATCTTCGCGTCACCTACGACGTCCGCCTTCTTCGATTTTTCTTCTCTCAACACTTGGAAGGTGAAGGGCATCATCAACTTATAAAGAATGCTCTCTTCAGTCTCATGACAAGATGACATCTAATTCGTTCTCTGATGTCAAAAGAGCACTACCTTCTTCTGAGTTATTTAAGCCTTCATATAATCCATTTTTAATCGTGCCCTGAATATAAAAAACTTCGTCAGAGAGGCTCTTTCAATTTCGTTTTCGAGTTCGGCCCGAGTTGTCAATTTTTTTTTTGCTTTTTAATTTTTATTTATTTATTATTTTCCAGGGACACCCCGAGTGAATATTAGCCTGACAGTGGCTCAAGTCGATGAGCAACATGGAGACCATGATACCCGCATTTATTCGATGGTGCTCCGAAGGATTGCGGATACGGATCTGGAAACAGGCGAGTATTCCTGGAAAGGAGGATCCATCAACGTAAACTAAATATAAAAAAGTCTTTTTTTTTTCCTTCTGTCTTCGCCCTTGCGAGGTCCAGATATAGCATCCCCAATGAAAACTTCTGAGCTCTTTCTTTCTTCCATGCTTTTATAATTCACCTCTCACGCTGACTTGACGTCAATGTTCCAATTTTGCAAAAAACAATAATAATAATAATTTAACTAAGTAAATTGCAATACAATTTGGAAGAGCTCATCTCTGGGGAAATCATGCAAAGGGATAACAAGAGGAGATGGAGTGCTTTCGAGGATGATTGAGAAATTATACAAGATGGTTTAAAGCCGGATGTACGACTTTCTAGATGAAAAATTATACTCAGCGAAAGTTTTGGAGTAGTATTGATGTACCACGGGGAGAACGTTATGAAAATAAAAAAAGCATGTCACATTGGGGACGCTGCAGGCGTGATGTCATGTACTCTGGTATGAAATGTTGAATTCGGCGCGTCCGTTCAGTCTTTGGATACCCTCGTACTTTAGTTTGACCCTTAGTGAGTGGAAACCATCTCAATCATGCTTCTCTTCCTCACTCTTCCTCATGTTCCAGGAAATTTTTTTGCACGGATGAGTAGAATGCTTTGAAGTTACGTCTTGTGTTAGTGATGTGCATAGAGAATGCTAAGAGAGACGTGCATAACTAACAGAGCATCATGTAGGGCTTGGGATTCCTACGTTCATAATCTCTACGATGAACTCAATATATGATTTCAGATAATGAGTATCTCGGGTTGAAAGCGTATGAAGTGGTGTTGCCAACGGCTGCACTGGGCCAACACGTTGTCATTTCTCTCTATGGCATCACCAACCACAAGATCGAAGTCTGCGAAGTGGAAATCTACTCCGAGACAGGTGTGTAGGAAATGTCCCATCTTCCGTCGAAGGCGGAACAGATTGAACAGTTGAGAAAACTTCCTCTTTCTCTTCCGCCCAGGAACCACAGAGAAAATGTGCGAAGGAGATCGAATGGAACAGTTCGACAAGGTCAAGATATGGGGAAGGAGATGTCTGGGTTTCGACCCTAGGAAATCCCCAGATTTCTTAACGGCATCCAGAATCTGTCAAAGTTACGGCGGCTTCCTCCCTCAAAACATCGATCGAAGTTTATTTGATTTACTCCGAATTCTTACTCACTCGGAGTTTTCCGGAAACAAGGACGTGAATGCAATCTGGATTGGAGCTCAGAAGGAAGCCGGTTCTTGGAAGTGGACCGATGGTCAGCGACCGAAAATAATAATCTTCTTTCAGTCTCTCATCTCTATCTCATTTTTGCGCAGCATCCAAAGACAGAAGTTGAATGATGAGTGAAGGAACTGTCTCTTGCAGGGACGGCGGTGATGGAGACGGTTTTCCAAACGGTGGAGACGATTTCCCAGACGGATTCGGATCTGAAGGAGGGGTCCTGTCCCATGATGGCCAAGGACAACTGGCTGTGGACCGAAGGAAACTGCACTTCTCAGCAACCTCCACCTGCCGTCCTCTGTCAATTTGGTTCGTTTGAGTCAATCCTTTTCTTCGCGTTCTCATCCCTCTTTGAATCGAGAGTGGATAAAGCAAAGACCCATTTCCTCTCGTATCCGTGTTCAAGAGGGCCGGAGAGGAAATCATTTTCTAATGGATGAGACTTCGAAATAGCGCCATCATAACGGGCCATGTCCTTGCTTTTCCTCATTCTCGCATATCCTATTGGGGAACCATTGACGCCCGACTGGAGTTCCTCCTCGGACCTCAGATAAGGAGAACTCCTATTGTAGAGCAGCACTCAATCATCCGTGTACAAGGACGACGCTGACCTTGAGATGCTCGTTCAATGGGAGCACTCCTCTCGATTAATGATGTCCACCTTTTCTTTCACCCTCTCCACACCTTGGATAGACGACGCTATTTCCGCGTTTTTGTCGTTACCGAGAATAGAACAGGAACGGAAGATACTGTACCCGTCTTTGGTGCTCGCTTCAACCAATGAATATCGAAAATCGACGAAAACCTGGCGGCACACTTTATGTCGCGGTGATAGAGAGGCAGAGCAGTGCGCATAATCTCGTTGACAGACAAGTGAGCACATATCAGATATGGCACGTAGATTCATGGTCCAACATGACAAAAAAGGTGGGAGGACCAAAACGGCTTGATCACATTTGTTCTAAATGCCACTTTGTCCTAAAATGTTCCATGGTCATTTTCCACATGAAATGGATTTATTTGCCTGTAACATCACAGGGGAAAGGACAAAAATTCATGTTGAATATTCCACATAGGCAGCAAAAGGAAATGGGAAATCTGGAAACGTCGCTTTAGTTCTCGATGCTTTGAGTTTTTGTACTGTCCTCGTCGACCTTGAAGACATTACAGTAGAAAGTCCCTCCTTTTCAAGGGAAGAAAGTAACCCCACTTCTTTCCTATCATGAATGTTCACATCCAGGCGTAATGAATACTTCACCGAATGACGGTTTGGCGAAAGATGTCCTGCCCGCACGGAGGCTCAGAATAAAAGACAATCGAGGAGCCGCTTGAGATCTATACAAGTTATGCGCCTGCTGTCGCTGGGAGCACAACGTGCTACCATGCCAGGGAATCGCATCCCAATATATTTATTTTCTTCCAGGAAAGCCTAGAGAGAGCAAGAAAATTCTGCAATGAAAACATCGATTAGCGGCTTGAGGACTTCGAGCGCACAAAAGAACTCTCAAGACTGATGGAAAGTTCAAAAGGACTCGAGAGCACAAATAAATGTCAGGATTACGATGGCCTTGATGGCATATCTCACTGAAATCTTCTTTATGGTGCAATTTTGATTATGCCATTGGGAGGAACTTTATTGGAGATTAACAATATAAATCTAGAACATTTTTGGAATTGCTCCTTTTTCCTGCCGACCAATAGGAGTTGTACTCATACCGTACATTTGGGGCAATGACCCACCGAGGACGTTTGACTGCTCGACTAAGTATCATCATCTCATCTTTTGTCGCAGACCCGCAGAAATGCACGTTACCCCGACAACACACTGGGGCGATTCTCAAGCTCTCGGATGAATCTCTCGGAGTGGGCACCATCGCTTCTTACTCCTGCCAAGACGGAGTGACACTCTTCGGGAAGTACGAGCTGAAATGCCAAAAAGATGGGCAATGGAACGACCAGGAGCCATACTGCAACGTTCCCGGTCGGTTCTCTCCCATCGTTTCGTTCGTGTGAATTTCTTAGTTGTACAGTGGGTCTGTCCATGGTGTCGGATGTGACATCTGGAGTAATATTTTTAGTATACAAAATGTATTTAACTATATTATGGATGACCAATCAGCATATAAAGGCTGAAAACTCCATAATCCAAAGTCTTGCACTCTCTCTAACGTTAGAGGTGTGTGTACCTGGTACCTGTGTACAAAGAAAAGTGTCAGACGTGACATTTCATGAACCTCAAGTTAAAGTCACTTGCACTAATTTTCACATATCTGTCATCGACCGGATCCTAATAATTTAGTTTCATGTTCATTCTATAGATTGAATGAACGCTTGAAATTAGTGTAAGTCACACCTATTTTGTGACGGTGTCGGATGTGACAGGAAAGTGTCGGATGTGACATGTTCTGAAACTGTATTTTGAAACGAGAAGTCCATACATATATATTAAGTTTATTTTAAAGATATCGTTCTAATGTGAACAATTGACATCTACTCTTCACACCTGAGCTGATTTGAAATTATCAGTATGCATGGAAAGCCAATGTTGACATCTGTTCCATTCAGTCTCTCCAAATTTGCATTTTCATCACATTTTTCTGTGTCATGAGATTGGTATGAATAATATATCATAGTCATGACTAATTCATTCATTTTACAATGTAATATTCTCTTTCATTCATGTCTTTTAGGAAAAGAGATTATGAACTTCCGTAGCGAAAGTAATATTTGCATACTTAGGAAAATTTCCGGCTAAAATCCTAGGACGACTTGGCGTGGACAGACCCCAGTGCTTTTCAGTGAGTTTCATACCTGTGGCATGAGGCTCAAGCGGCAAAATGTTCCTCACGAGCCTCAAAATGGTTTGTACGAGTTGGATATTGTTTCGTAACTCCCTCCCGGCGCACCACCGGCCAGGCCTCCTGAGAAACACGGGGGCAATCGGACAGCATTCATTTATCCTTCGATTCAGAGTCCCTAAAAGTCTAAAAGACACACGATGACAGGACTCCGATTTCCTTTCGCGTTCTTTTTTTTCTTATACATTACAAATAGGACCATGGCTTTCTCTTCTTCTCTTGTTCTTCCCCTTCTTTGGTCTTCATTCGTCATCCATCTTCGTTCATCATTGAATCACCTCCTCCAAGTTTTTTTTTTTTCTGAATCATACCAGGCTCAGCATCAGTCCTGCAAAATGTTTTTCAATGTCGAATTGGACGTTCGGTATGAGAACTAACCCGGAAAGCAATATAAATTTGATGGTACCAGTTCTTGTATCGCGCATGGAAGACTTTCCATATGGAGTAATATCTATCTTGATATCTCCATAGGCTTACGGGATATTTTATTATATATATATATATATATTTTTGTCTAAAAGTCTGTAAATGCTAAATTTTCAACTTGGATGGGGCCACCAACAAAGGAGAATTTCAGTTTGTGAAATTTATTTTGCTATACCATCCAGCGAAATTTTCTGATGGTACTCCAATTTTCCAGTCCTCGTTGAGAACGAAACATTCTAAGCTACACGCTATGGAAGTGGTGTCGATTAGGTTACCAGGAAGTTGAGAGATTCGATCGTTAAACTCTGCGATGAGTAATCTCAAATCGATTAAGCCAGGCTTGAATTCGAGTGATTAAATTGTGAATCTTGATGTCATATCTCCGAATCATGAACATGCGTTGCCGACTGCACCTAATTCTAGCATCAAGATTTAGAATTTAGAGATTCTGAATAAGATTTCTAATCTTGAGGAGTCCTTTTCGGAAAAGCTGAATCGAGTGTTCATCAGAATAATGAAAAGCATAATGCAACGAGCCTGTCGAAACGAGTAACTCGGAATTTTCAGAGCTGTCCAATGGCATTCTGAGCAGCCTTGGACGAGTGTGCGACGAGAGGGGCGGAGAAAATATTATGCAACAAGTATTAATTATTTTTAAACAAGTGCAGGGCATTTCGCAGGTCGTGGGCATAATTCTGCAACAGGTACGAAACGCAATGGGAAACAGTGTATTCACATATCTATTTCCGATCGCAGAGTACGCGAGGGAAGCCTTCAGCCCAGAAGAAGAGGAAGAGAAATCGTCTGCTGCCAACGGTGAGCCGCCATGTGCTGCGTCTCAGGCTATCATTGAGGTCATTCGAATGCCATTCCATTTATCTGTAGAATCATGCTTACCTGATGGTCCGACTTTGTAATGAAGTTCAAGGAGTACTTGAAAATTTTAGCAAGTGATAATCTAGTTCGAAGCCACTTTAACTGCGGAAATTCTGTGTCGGTAAAATGCGCAAATGAAATCCAGGTTCGTTTGCATTAGTAACTTTTGTGAGGGAAAGAAACAATGGTAGAGGTTACATATGTCGGATCTACTGACTCATCTATTTCACGATGAGTTCGGCCACGAAAGTTTCGGGAAACTCCGACATAAGTAGAACTTGCCTGATTGAAATTCGAGGACATCACCTTTTTCGGTTGAAATTCGAGGAAGTCACGCAATTAACTTTCCTCAAGGCTTGCTCCAATTATAACGAGGGCTATAAGTCCATGGAATTCATGGAAATGAACTCGTCCTAGCTATTTTTCAGGGTTTTCTTGAGGAGTCTCTTCCACCTGACGCCTATTCATAGGAATGCCTCAAACTGCCGGCATGAAAGAAAAAATGCATTGACTGCTGATTCATTTATGCAAATCACCTACCTTCAAAGATCTGATCGATTGATCTTGAACGAAGTCATTTTGGATTTTTTTCTTCTCAGTGGCAATCTATGCTGCGATTGGTGCCGTGATGGGAGTCCTTCTCGTGGCGCTGATAGCCGGCTCTGTCCTCCTGCGTCGACAGAGACGATCTCAAGATTATGCTCCGAGCAAAAGTAAGACCGACCCCGAAGGACCGATTTTCGTCGGAGACTCAATCGTTCTCACCAGCAGAACGGTGAAGAATACTCATCGACCCGAGGTCAGTTCTAACTCCATGTCTCCGTCTACTAACTTTATTCTCATGCTCGGGCGGCCAACGTTAGATCTCAATTAGGCGGTTCAGATGCAAAATGATGCATTCCGCTGATGGAATTATATACATGTATATATACTTGAACTGAAACTTGTACACACAAGACAAAAGCAGAGCCAGGACGTATATTAGGGCATCAAACGTGACGTAGTTGTGCTTAATTTAAATTTTTTAAATAGGAAAAACGTTACATCTATTTCTCAAAATAAATTTATGTTCACATTACGTGCTTCCTCAGTTGGGATTATTTACGCCAGATTCATCGCTGATACTTTTTCGTGAGAAGAGGGAATCTGTCCCCTATAATGGCTCAATCGAAACCTTTCAAAAGCCGCGGCGGAAATGGTTCTCATGTAGGACGTGTGCAATATTGAAGGGGCTGCATTAAGGAACGAAGCCCAGCGATCGATGCGCCTTTTTTTTTCCTTTCCACGTCAGATCCAAATCCAGAGCGGATTGAGCCGGCCTGACGTGGTTCAGACGAGAAGGGATGCGAATGACCCCGAGTACGCTCAGCCTCTTCTGCCTGAACAAGAGCGTCTTTACGATTCCGTCACACCAGAGGATGATCAGGGAGAGAAGGATGGAGATCTTTCTTCGACGCAACAGCATTCTGCCAGCACCCTCCCATCTACGTCCAAACTCTGAATGACAAGCTCAGATTCCTCATGGTGATGCGCGAGTGAATGGAAAGGAACTGCTAGGCCTCGAATCTGTGGTACTTGGGCAGGACCAGTTCCACAATGCGTCGGAACACGATCGTCAATCTCTGTATCTGTGGGTGATTACCTCGAAAGCGCTATTTGGGGACCTGGCACATTACTTAGCACTCATTTCGATGGCTCGTCTTCAAGGAAGAATCCTCTCCCAGAATGGGAGTCTCCTCTGTCCCCATTCTATTTTCCAGAGAGGCAGTGTTGCGTCTGTCATATTTTTTTTCTATGTTCGAATTGTCTCATGGTTGTGAAGTCAAGGGAACTTCTAATTGTGATTGTATTACCTCTACTGTAATGATGAGCTTCATGTATCATTTGACTTTCGGTCACGTAACTGCTGTAGTTTATCGCAGTTTGAAGATTCCAACTGTGATATTCGACTTTCCATAGACCAGATAATGACTCTCATGCGAACAGCCGAAGTATCTACTACTCTAACGAGTGACACTCCAGTGTTAATCTAAGGTAAATCGGGCCTCTCAGAAACTTGATTGTCTCTGTTCCGTAAACTTTCAAGTGTCCATACGTGGAGGGGTGCCGTGGTTCGATTTTGCGAATCCCGTCAGCTCGAAGAGACAACGAAGTAAACAACAAAATGGGGGGAAAAGTTGACGGGAGAAACGCTGACCTTGGGTCCCTTCAGCTTTACGTCCAGAGAAACAATTATTAATGAAAGCCGATTTCCCATGCATTTAAATGCATTGAAAAATTCACTCTTGTCACTCGGTTTCAGCTTGTTTGTTATGAGTAGGGCTGTCACGATAGCAGTTTTCAAAACATCGATGCATCGACCTAAACTATCGATAATGTATCGATGCATCGGGGGGGGGGGCAGAGGATTCCATAGTCTCACGCTTGTGATCGGGGGTGCAAGGGGAATGTGTGCCCTTCGCAAAGAGTAATGAAACCTACCATGACTCCAACTATCGAAGATGACATCCATTCATCGATGGATGCATCAGGTCAATGTACGTTTCGAAATCAAGGCAGTATAAGAACAGTCCACTTCCGCAGCATGCACCTGATGAGATCGAGCCGGGAGACTAAAACTGAGGACAAAAAAAAATCTTATTGGGCTTCCCTTTCTTTTCCCACTTCCTGTCTCCGATCTGACTTTTTTTCCCCTTCCCGTCTTTCATATAGTCAGTCCCAACATTTCCAGAATTTGAGTGTGATAAGAAATTGCTCGCCCATGCGTGTCACGCCGCTTCTTCCTTTCCTCGCCCGGACGGACTGTATTGTACAGTACTCGCCTCAATTCAAAGGCCCCTTTAAAATATCAATATTTTGCCGATGCATCGCGATAGTCGAAAAAACTATCGATATCTCCAACTATCGATAGTGATATCGATGCATCGATCTATCGTGACAGCCCTAGTTATGAGCATACACAGAGTCCTCCCTCCACGACTCTCGATGGAATCCGTGATCTTCGAATCGATTCATCGCTGAGCAGAGGAGCTTGAAATGTTTCCTAGATGAGCTTTTTTTCAGTGAAGTGCGGCATCTTGCCACGGTATTTATTCCGAGAACGAGGAGTTTTGTCTATGGAACAGTCCTGCTCCCCTTCCGCTCCGTTGAAGCCTTTGGAAAAATTGAATGTATTCTTGAACAAGAATCATATTGAGTGTTATTATAATGACTTTTTCCTTTGACACAACACTGTCCATTGTCCCAATCCAAGATCTCTAGAATGAACGGCTTAGTAAGTTCCATGTTGCATAAAGACGGAAAACTTTCGGGGAAGAACGTAACCATGATTGAAGGACTATCATTTGAGAATTATGAGACTTATCGTAATTTCACGTGAAGTTGTACGAACTACGTGTAATGTACAGTACCTATGGCCTAAGTTTACCCTTCCCCAATTACCCATACAGACAATCTCATAAAATGATTCATTAACACAAGTATTTTTTGTTTGCTTAGCTAAACACATATCGCGTGTTCGCCTGGTTCCGCCGTTGTCATGCGCCTGAAATTTTATAAAAACAAATGGTTGTAGGCAAACCTCTTTTCCTCCCTGTAACTCGAGCTCACCACCAAATTTCGTATCAAAGCCATGCTCTCTTCACCGTATGAGTTTCAAATATCACAAGCGTTAACCTTTTGGAATTTACAGAATAACTGCACTTCAGACTCAGTATTAGAAGAGTTTCAGATTTTTCTTTATTTTCATATTCCACTGCATTTGCATTTATTCTACGTGTAGAATAAATGCATCCTAATGTATGTATGCATCCTAATTATTAAAGTTATGCACTAATAGCGAATCATTCTAGCGTGTATTGCCAAGAAGAACGTCCACAAGCACTGGACGATCGCGCTTGAGCTCATAATGAACGGGAATCACACAGGGCAGTTCTAAGGACATTTCTTGTGAATTTATTAGGGGCGAGGAATATCGCAAGCATGGTATCCAGCCTTTGCTGCATGGTTCTCAAATACTCTGCTGTTTGAGATAGGATGAGACAAAGAATAATTTTTAAAAATCCTTGAGATCTATAAAATGATGAAGACTGTATTGACGCGTTGGACTTCTCAGACAGACAAAGGTGTCCGAGAATGCACGTGATAGGTTTCAAGGATATTTTCCTTATTATTTAGATCGTCAAGATAAAATAGTCGTTAAAAGAATAAAAAATTAAGTAATATAATAAGAAGTCATTATAATCGAACACAACTCATTTATGGGTACTCAAACTCGGCATTTTAAACTCAAGATGTAGATGATGGAAAGAAAAGAATAAATAAGTAAATGAAAAATTTTTTAATTAAAAGTAGACAATATTGACATCGTAAAGGAAAAGTAAATGTCGATACAATTCATTCTGCGAAGTGATAGTGATCCAAGGGCGCATCTGAAGGCAAGAATTCTCAGTAGTCATACTGTCATGCTGCAGTATCTGCATTTTTTGTGGCAGGCAGGTGCACTGGATGCCTTCTGTTATCTGGTCCAACTGATTCACAGGACGTCATCAGCAGCGCAGGCAGATAGTATTAAGTATTTTGATGTTATGGTGCATTGTGGCACCCACGCAGTCAAAAAATTTCCATCGCGCCATCGATGGGTTTTCGTCGACTCGTATATAAGCCTTAGTTGGGCTGGGATATGGTTTAAGTTGGCTTATGGTCGGGCATGTCCTATTGGCCTTTCATCAGGCCAACTTTGGTTCATTGTTGGGAAACCGCACTTGCCTCAAACATAAGCTGCCTTTTCACAATGGTGAAAAGATATAGGAAGAAAAACCACATAAACTGCATCTTCAGCATTATGCATCCTGGAGAGATAAGAATGCATCCTTTGGTCCCCTACTGCTCCTTCATCTGTGAGAGATGAAGGAGCAGTACCTTAACCAGAGTACTTTACACAGGTATACTCCTATCGTGCAAAGAATATCCCAAACAACATCCCTTCCGGATGTTAAGGCATCCAGGAGCAGAATTACCTTCAGAATTCAAGGGTATCTGTCCTTCCGCAGGAGGCAAGGCACGCCTTACAAGCAATAAGTGTTTCCCATTGAATTTTGTACCTGCTGCATTATGTTACGCACTAGCGGCATATTGCTTCGTACTCCCTTTCAAAATGATTCGCACACGTTGCATAATGTTCCGTACTCCCTCCTCCCGCCCAGCGAGCAAGTGCCACTCCGAGTGACGCATCCATCTGACAGCCCTTGGAGAGAGGAATGCATGGTTTGTTGATAGAATGAATGGATGAATGAATGGATGTCAAGCGCCCAGATTCACAGGTTACACTAAAGTACTCTATGGAAAGACCTGTAAGTAAATGGAAAGGGAGTTCCACACTCAGAAATTCTTACTAATGAAATATCATATAACGATATGATAGGCGTCAGAAATGTTCCTCTTTCTTCTGGGCGTCTTGACTACCAAGCGCGAAACTTACGAATGCCTTCTGTGGGACGGTTTGTAATGCAGCCATTGTTTCAAGGGTTCCGGACATGGTTCCCGTAATGGTTGCCAGGTAGTCTTGCCATTCTGAGCAGCACTGGAGGAATGGAGGAGAGCAGGGGGTACAAAACAATACGCAACGCTTGCGATTCATTTTGAGGGAGGTGCGGAGTATTTTGTCTAGCATTCTGCAAGACGTGCCAAACTCACTGAGAAACACTGCAAGCCTTTTCAATGTTCTTCAGAAGAGAAAAAAGATCGAGTAGCTTAGCTCGTGGAAAGTAGAAGGATCCTCCCACCGGCCTCCGGACCGGAATTTCCTGGTTTATTCCAAGGTTAGGTTAAATCTTCAGAGAAATGTTTCAATAAATTAAATTGTCTTCCTCTGAGAAACCGTATGTGAGAAACCGTAGGGAACTGTGTCAAAGGGACAGGGGACTCATTTCAGTAGAATCCTGGAAGTGACTACGACCACTTTGGCTCTATCTCACGCTAGTTTTCGGAACCTTCCCAGCCACATTGGCTCATCTTCGGCAAAAGATTGACCGGCCAACTCATTAGTGTGTTAGCCGGCCAATCATTCGCTGAAAATAAGCCAACTTCCCCGGTTATGGCCCGACGATAAACCAAAGAAAAATGTTGACTGGGTACACGGTTGCAGCACTGAAGGATGTGATGGCTCGTGGTGTTGAGCCATGTGCCTTGGGTTTTAGCCAATCTCTATGCTAATTTTGGACTTTTGCAATAAATGCCTATTTCCCGTGATTTCCATGTACGGGTAAGCAGTGGGAAGCAATTGACATGATGCGAACATCAGCAAACAGAGCAACAGCCTGATGACATGGAATGCCGATTAAAAGAATCCTTTTAATTGTTTATCCACGTGTGAGTTGAAGCTGATGTCTTTGTCAAATATAATTTCAAAGTACTTCACAGTTTCTGAGGAGTTAATTGTGTGATTTTTACTGAGATTTCTTCTCTATAAGAGGTGGGACCCTGTCTCTTTGATGGAAAAGCACTTCCTTTGATTTGTCAGGATTCGGTATGAGATCATGAGGTTCAGATAATCTGCACAGAGCTTAGATACACTGAGAGTAGTGGGATAAATCCTTAACATTACTTATACAACAATGACAGTGTCATCTGCATACTTCAAAACAATGCATATTTGAAAGTAACATCTCAAACTGTCAGCAATGAGGGTGAACAAACTCTGGGATAAAGCGTGCATTGAACTACTTCAGTCTTGCTCAACAGTT